GGCTGCCACGGTATGGCTCCCATCGGACAATGATGGAATCCGGATACTTCCTGTCGTTCTCGTCCCTCCTTGTCATCCGATGGACGGCAGTTGGGGCTAGCTTGTAGCGGTCCTTGATTTCCACTTCGATTAACTTCGGTAAACCTCGGATGACCACTTTGAAGGGCTTCTCGTCTGGGATATCGGGAGTGAAGAATTCCGCCTTAGACTTCTTCAGGTATGATGTGGCCAGCTCGTATTCCGCTTTCGTGTGGAGCATCGCCTTTGATCCGATTCTACTGAGTTTGAACTCAGCTGTAATGCCCATGGACGCGAAGCTAGCGATGAGCGTGTTTAGAGGTGCATTTTTCACTACCAACGGTGGTAGTTTTGCCGATATCGCTGTTGTCGCGGTAACATCGTCGCGACCAATTGTGCCATCGGACTGGCCTCGATTCTTCTTCCTCTTTTTACTGAGCTTTTCCGTCACAGCTGGTTGGGTATTCCCATCGATGGGAAGAACAGCAAACCTGTTCGCTGTAGGTACACCCGAGTTTCCTTCACCGGGCTTCGCGAGCGATGCTTCCCCATTTCGGGGTGTGGTGGATGCACCCCTAGCTACGCCTATGTGTTGCAACAAGCGAACGAATCGAGCTCAGACGATAGTTGTTTATGCTTAGTAGGCATAAGCATACTGTGCGGTTGGAGTGCGATAAACTGCAAGTTGCATACTCAGCGTAAAGTGTGTATCGGCCATCACAGTAGATCCATAAGAAAGAACAAATAAAATTCATTCCACATTGTATCCTAACCGAGTAAAGTCATTCTTTTGAGAGATCTGTTACCCCACGGGGCTGGGACTGAATCCGTACTACTCTAAAATAGTTCAGGGGCACGCACACAAAAAACCGCGAAAGAGAGAGCGTGAACACTATCACAACGAATATTCCGAGCAACTCGAGAGAGCGAGCTAACACCGAACTGAATTGCTTGACCATCAAGCAGAGAATGACATGAGTTGAGGCTTGGAAGCAGCGCTCCTTTTTATCTTTTCAGGTTGAAGCAGAATGATGTGCAATTATAGACTGTTCCAGAAAGTATAAGCACACCTTATTTTAACGGTCACTTTGAATATAATGAAATATTTCAACATGTTTTGGCTGCGTCCTTTTGTTTGCTCATTTCTGAATGACATAGCATCAAAAAAGTGCTCAGTTTTGTGTTTGTGTTTCATGTGAAACCATGGGCCCGCAAACTCTACGATTCGTTATTGTGTCGAATTTCTGGGTGTATAATAATGGACGACGAAACGTACGTGAAACTAGATTACAAAACGCTTCCCGGACCACAATTCTATACTGTAAGCGAAGGCTAGGACATCCCCGAAACGGAGAAGGCAATTTTTATCGAAAAATTCGGTAAGAAGGTTATGGTTTGGCAGGCAATATGCAAGTGTGGTAAAACATCTAGTCCGTACATCACAACGGAGACGATGAACACTCAGAAATACATTAAGGAATGTCTCCAGAAGCGATTGTTGCCGATGAGCAGGCAGCACGAAGGTCAAGTAGTATTTTGGCCTGATTTGGCGTCATGTCATTACGCAAAGGATACTTTAGAATGGTACAAAAGTCAAAATGTATGTTTCGTGCCGAAAGACATGAATCCGCTGAACTGCCCGGAGGCACGGCCAATCGAGACTTTTTGAGCTTTAACCAAAGCAAAGCTTCGAAAATTAATAAAACCAGCGGACGACATCCAAAAATTCAAAAAAGATTGGCCAAAAGTGGTCAAAATGGTGGAAATACCATTGTGCAGAAGCTACCCAAGAAACCAACAAGCCCGTTAATCGCCCTTTTGGGTATATAAGGCTGCTATACGACTGATATAAAGTTCGTAAACCCTATATTTACCTTATATCCGAAAAAGGGCGATTATCTGGTAGTTAGCGGGCTTGGTGGTTACTTGGGTAATGGGTCATGTTCGAGGAAAAGTTAGGAGTCTTGGCTATGATTAAATATGTTGATTAAACGAGAGTAAGATATCATTGGAAATACAAATACAAATATGATTTGCCAAATAAAATTATTAAAACTTAAAAAACATGACTTTTTTGTTATTTTGAAAGTGTGCTTATACTTTCTGGAACAGGCTATAAGTGGTACTCGATTTGGGGAGAATGTTTATTTCATGAAAACAGTGATAAAATTATCACTTTTTATTCGTACATTGGACAATGCTTGACATTACCATTTTTTCAATAGTTTTTTGTTGAAAATCAACAGTCGGAAGCATTGTTGTTGATACGGAGATATATTTCTGATCGATTGGTGATAAAATTATTGAAATTGGTCCAGGAGCAGCTGAGTTATTAATGTTCCAAATCTTTCATAATTTTGTTTCATGTTCCATTTTTGGTTTTCACAAAGTGTATCCCCCATAGAGAAATCACAGACGTAGTCCTACGTTAAAAAAAATCGGCGAAATCAATAATAACTCACCTATTTTGCGATTGAATGTGCTATAATATTCATCACATTGATGTGTATAGATATTTTGAAAAAATTTGCAAGACACTTCAAAACAGTAGAAGTTTAAAGAAAATTATTATACAGATAAAATTTTAAGTAAGGGTTTTCCACGGAAAATCTTTCATATACCAAAAGCCTTCAGCAATGTTTGCCTAAGACACCGAAATTTTTGAAAAACAAAAAGTTGGATCTCTCTTCAAGGGGGATAAATCCTTGATCTGTCAATGTTTAAAGAAGGGGCTTTTCATATTCAGAAACTTTTCCGAAGACTCCACTTGTCTGAAATGTAAGCTTCATGAGGTAATGACTTTTGACCGTGTTTTCGCAGTACTGGACCATTGTGCAGTGTATCAAATCAGGATGTATTGTGTACTTAAGGTGAAAGTTCATGCAATCCATTCACTTTTCGTTTTCGCTGCTCTTGACTTCGCCATCCAGAAGTCATGCAGATCTGAACATTATATGAGATGCTTGCTTCTCTGCAGCAGACATGTGCAGGGGATAGACACAATGAACTATTTGGGTGAATCCGGATGCATTTGATGGGATGTTTATATCAGCTCTAATAAATTATATGAAAATTTGTGGTAGATTGTGAAGATTCCTTTTAAAATGTGTCCAGATGTGTGCCCGGGAAAATGCGAAGTAGTAAAACAAATTATATGGAAAATGAATTACATCAATAGTGCCCTTAACTTCCCGTCGTAGCTCACTCGCGTCTCCAGATTTCTTGGGAAGGTTTCATAAAAATTGAAAGGGCGCAAAAATGAGATTTCGCCACGTAAACAATATCCTGAGAACTCTGTCTGTACTCAACATAGGTAGGATTAGGAATTTCTCAAAGTAGGTTGGAAGTTTATGGAAATTTGGTTGGAAACAATTAGGTTGACCAGCTAGGAACAAATAATGTTGTGTTGTTCAATTGATATCTCTGGATGGTTGAAAGATGGTACAGTTTATCCTGGAATAACTGTTGTATAGTATTCAAAGAAAGATCTGACAATGTTTACAAGACACCTCCTCTTTCATAAAAAAAATACACCAGAAAGCCATCGCAGGAACTTTTTAATGATTTCCCATAACCTCACCAATGGGCCCGCCCTGGGTGCAAACCAGTTCCATCCTCGCTCTACTCGAAAATGCCACCGCGTGGAACTCAGAAGTGTTGTTACACGAATCACGATCCTGGAGGTCCCTTCTGGTAAGGAGCATAATCCTCCGGAGCCACACGCGGCTCTTATCGGCTCTTCTGGGAGGCAGTCCACCGTTAATTGAGTTCTTATACCCTTCCATAATCGTCCCATTCGACTGGGTTTTCTAGAGCAGTGACGGCGGACCAACATCGAGGTTATTTCAGATAAGTCCCATCCATTACCAACTCTCTGTCTCTCTCTCTCTCTGCCTGTGCTCTGATTCCACCGAAAACCGATCCAGAGGCAATACAATAATTTGTAATTTTGTCTTTCTCGATTATCGTAAAACATCACATCGATCGCTGGCTGAGGCTGGCTGCGGTCCGGAAAGGGGCCCCAGCAGAGATGAGAAGACCGCACCGAATTCCCGAAAAGCTTTAATCGATCTCTCGTGCGGAATGGCTCAATTAAAAAGGAGTGTGCTCCGTTCTGCTTTGGTGCACATTTCTTTTTGCACTTCCAGCTAATGATAGCTGAGGCAAAATTTTCGAAATTAACATTTCAATTTTATGACAAACGCACACACACACATGCACATCGCTTGCCCGTCATCCACCGTTGCAGTAGTGCAATAATTTTGCGAATCAATGCGAAGAAGAGGTCAGGACCGTCGTATGCAAATCGATCGGGGTGACCACTTTTCGAGTGTAAAGGCCCCACCAACCAGCCGTCATCGTCGTCGGCTGGAATGATCCCGGTCGGTGGTGGTTGGCGGAAGAGGGGGGAGCAACGGGAATCAATAATAAAGACAGTGCAGCAGCGTAAGAAATTACCTTTCCAGCGCTCCCTGGCAGAATGCGTTCTAGGGCACGTGTGACCCTTTCGAGGCTGGGAAATTTGATGCTTTCAATAGCCGTCTGTCGGCATTTGATTAGCTAGGATTCTAAACTGAACGTGGCGAGAGTTCTCCTGAAGATTCCAATCAGGCAAATTTTGGAACTCTTCCCCCATCCTTGAAAGGGTTACACCGCACTCCGTCGACCAACGCGTGTGTATGTGTGTTTGAGTGCGGAGACTCAGCGACAGGACTACGTGGCTGTCAGCAGCTACTAAATACCCAAAACTAATTATAATGCAATTAAAAGTTTATTGGTTCGATAAATTTTGTTCGACGACCGGCACCACCTTTCCCCTTTCCCCTTTTTCCATCCATCCTATCGATAAAGTGCATTTTCGCACACGACTGCGATTGACGAGCGAATTTTTAATCACTCCGGACGATTTGCGGCGACGATTATAAATAAACCGTCCGGTGTCGTAAATTATCCAAGTCATATTCGGTGGTGCGGCGGAGAACAGTGTTCCTTGTGCGGCGGAGAACAGCAATCCGAGAGGCGTGTGTGAGATATTCGTTGAGATCGTTGGTGCGCCTTCAGGCTTCGTTCGGTGTCCGGTCGTTCAAGATGAGTGTGGAAATTATGTCCGAGCGGGTCGGCCTTGGGTGGCTGGCCGTTCCGACGGTCGTCTTCATGACCCTGGTGGTGGTCGCCAGTGCACTGTTTCACCTGTGGATGCAATCGCGGCGATACGTCCGGCTAGGGAACAAAATCCCCGGACCGAAGGCATATCCGCTCATTGGGAATGCCAACATGCTGCTCGGGTTGAACCACAACGAGATCATGAACCGGGCGATGGAGCTGAGCTATATGTACGGAAGTGTTGCCCGGGGGTGGCTGGGATACCACTTGGTAGTGTTTCTGACCGAACCGGCGGACATTGAGATCATCCTGAACAGCTATGTGCATTTGACGAAATCCAGCGAGTATCGGTTCTTCAAACCGTGGCTCGGTGATGGACTGTTGATCAGTAGTGGGGACAAGTGGCGATCGCACCGGAAGTTGATTGCTCCGGCGTTCCACATGAATGTGCTGAAGACGTTCGTGGATGTGTTCAACGATAACAGTTTGGCCGTGGTCGCTCGGATGCAGAAGGAAGTGGGCAAGGAGTTCGACGTGCATGACTACATGAGCGAAGTGACGGTAGACATTCTGCTGGAGACGGCCATGGGATCGCAGCGAACCGGGGAGAGCAAGGAGGGCTTCGACTACGCAATGGCCGTCATGAAGTGAGTGGAAGTCAAACATTATTTAATCTATTAGGTTGTTCGACTGGTATGCAGGGAGATTGCTTTTTTATGGCTTTCTCGGTCTAGGGTAATCCAAAGGGTCAGTTAAAAAAATGGGACATGGCCATTTGCGACAAAACTATTGAGTGTAGCATTTTGACGTCTTCTAGAATGTTTCTTAAATTTGTAAGTACCTTATTTGAGTGGAGAAAATGTTTGCTTAAGGTGGTTCGCTGTGAGATCCTTATTCTCGCTACCACTTCGAAACTTTAATGCAGAAATATCAGCTTCCACGACACGTACTACAATGAAACTGTTACTCCACTTAGCGATTTCAAGTGAAATGGAACGCTAATTTTGTGTAATTCAAAATTCGAGGTGGAAGTGCATTTATAGCCATTTGTGGACTCTACAAGGAATCACCTTAAGGAGGGTATACACACAGATAAAAAAAATATTGTTTTAAGTCTTGTTAAAATCGATGGACGTCTATGGAGACATTGTAGATGACATCATTTAAAGAAACTTTGTCCAAGACGGCAATTTTCTATCTCTCAACTGGACAAAGTTGTAAGGTGGAAATGGAGTACGAACGGTACACACTTAATCTAGCTTGGTAAAATCTCCAACAGACGATTACCTTGGAATTTATTTTGCTGATATCTCTGCAAAATATCTGTTTGTTAAAACAGTATTGGCAACTGTTTTACTGAATTTCAGCTAAATAAATCGCAGGAATACTCGGCTGTTGGAGTGAGAAAAAAAATAAGCGTGTATAACCCCCTTAAATAACGTTTTCTAACCATAACTTTTTTGATTGAATTTTTAATTTTTTCAATGTTCTACAAAGTTGTAAATGCTCTTAAAAAGCACACACCGAGCAGTTCGGCATTTTATTGTGCTGGATCTCAGTTAAAACTTGCCGTGTTTCAGCAAAATTTACGATTGTTCGCTGAATCTCGGCAAGTTTTTCACTGAGATCCAGCAAAATAAACTGCCAAGCTGCTCGGTGGTGCCCATCTCGACCTTAAATTATTATATGGGTATTAACAGATAATATCAACGTTATTTTATTCAAGATCTTATACCATACTGTTACATATACAATTCGTAGGGAGATCCGAGGGGATGCCTAATAAATTTTCTAATGAAGTACCATTTCTCCAAGTATTTAAAAAATGGGTTCCCTTGCTTTTTAAATGCTTATTCAGATTTCCAACAACTGGGCAAAATTTGAACAAATATGGTTATAGCCAAAAAAGTCAGAGAATTTTAAATTTGGTATGGGAAATTGTATGGGAAACGGAACGATCGAATTAATTTGCTTACCAAAAATCTAAATATGGCTCAAATGTCACTATAACACGGACATGGATTGAGAATACTATACCAAACAACTTTGTCGAAGCTGCAACCCACCCTAATTTACATAGTTGGAAAACGTACCAAACCTTGAGATACTTTATTAGAACATTCATAAGGCATCCCCTAGGATCCCTCTATGAATTGTATATGTAACATTATGGTATAAGTTGCTTAATGAAATTACGTGGAGCTTAGCTGCTAATACTTGCTCAAAGATAGTGTGACAATAGACAATACATGAGAAATGCGGATGTAATTTCTTTAAACAAAGATATAGTGATTTGCTTCAATGAGCAAAAACTTACAACTTTTAAGAACATTGGAAAAATTGTTAAATTAAAACAAAAAAAGTTATGGTAAAAAAAGGGGTTTTAAGGGAGTACTACTCAAGTAACAATTCAAGCTGAACAGTAAGAGCACAAGCTGATTATTGGTTGATTTAAGGTGTGCAAAGCTGATTAACAGCAGGCTGAATATAAAGTTGATTAGTAGTGCGTGATGCTAATTGTATCCCCATAATTCAACCTCAATAAATTAGCTAATCTTAAGATCGAACAAGCCTTATTTTAGCTTAACACTACTTCACAAATCAGCAATGCACTACACATATTTTGATAGCCTGATTTGTTAAATGTAGTCAGTGTCACTCGTTGCATTTCAGGCATTTCTAATCCCAAGCAGCGGCAGCAGTAGAGACAAGGTAGAGGAGCTTTTTTTAGAAATAGCTGCAGGTAGAAGTGGGCTGCGAAGTATATTGCTCTGAATTTTCAAACGGCATTCCAAACATATAACTCAATTATGGCACTAAAACAGCATCCACATGACGATCGAAATAAATCACGCACTTGTGGCCACATTGTGTTAACTACACTTGAAAATGAGAGGAATGTTTTACTGTCACCAGTTGTTGTTAACAATTCTGCATTGCTGTATAATACTCTTCCGGTTGCTGTTATTCAGCTTAAATTTGACGTGTTTCAAGTTAATGATCCGACCTTTTGCCACGCAATTTGCATAAGTGGTCCAGTGGGTATGATTGATGCCTGTGAATCAACGACTGCCGGTTCAAATCCCAAAATGCAAAGGTAATTTTTAGACTTATAATAACAATATAAATATGTAAATTCAATAGTTAGTCAGCACCTTGTTGCAGTCCTATTAAAGTATATAAGATATGAAGCGGTCTTCAATTTTTTTTTCTTAATAAAACTAGAAGGCTGATCAAGGGTTGGAAAAGACTGTTAGTTAATGCCTTAAAAAGCTGATAATTTATATGATGGTTAGGCTTTTGGCTGATTAAAATTACCAGATTTAGATGTTTAAAAGCTGAACAAAGGTGCTCGTGGTATATGTACAACAATTATTCAAACTATGACTGAATTAAAATCGATTGAACAACACTTGTTAAGCATCAAATTGTTACCTGTGTACCGTATGCACGTGCTCCATTTTCACCCTATACCTTTGTCCAGTTGAGAAATAGAAAATTGTCGTCTTGGGCAAAGTTTCCTAAAATGTCTTCATCTACAATGTCTCCATGGACGTTCATCAATTTTAACAAGATTTAAAAAAAGTTATCTCTTTTATCTGAGTGTATATCCTCCTTAAGCAAAAATGTTTACCGCTTAAATAAAGAACTCAACAAATGAAGAAACATTCCAGAAGAAATCAAAATGCTACACTCGTGCAGTTTCGTAGCAAATGGCCATGTCCCACTATTTTTGATTTAGTCCCACTGTGTGACGTTTCGATACAGACAAAGATGGCAGCTTCCGGTTACAGTAAAACTTGGACATTCTGCCAAATAACCCACACTCAAAAAATTGCACACGTTTGATCGAAGTGTGTAAACACTTGATTTTTTAAATGCACAATCACATTTACTTTAAGTGTATTTCACCTTGGTTCAATGTGTTATACACGTTAATTTCTGGTGTTTCAAACTTTGAAATGTTGAAAATCATTCACTATATATTCAAGTGTATAGCACTTGAACAGATGGATTTAAAGTGTTTTGCATTTCAATACGATGTGAATTGCTTGCTCAGAAAGATAAACATCGAAAACAAGAGTTGTGACTTTATCCTATCAACCCGCCTCATATATGATGACAACCGTGGCACAGTGAGATCGAACGAAGACTCCGGCAGCAGCTCACCCCAACAGTCCATGATCGAATCCCAAATCAGATCCATTAAAAAGATATGTGACAGATCTGGCCTCTGGCAGTTTGTTTATATATTTGTCGATTCATTTTTAGAGTCGGTAAAGTAGAAGTCGATAAAGTAGAATATTGTAGAATATTGAACTATGATGTGCAAAGCTATTGATATCACCATATGAGGCACATAGAATCCAAGTGTGTCACAATTCAAATCCATAGTGTTCGGGCATGGTTCAAACCATAAAATTCACACATGAAATGGATGTGTTTCACAATATGCGCAAAATTAAGTGTGAGACACATGATGATGACGTGTGGAATTTATGGGGTGCACAATATGGGTATTTTTGAAATTGGATTGACGTTTAGGGACCGGAAATCAATGTCTGACGCCATTTTGAAATCCAAGATAGCGGCTTCCAGTAACAGAAAAGCTTGGAAATTCTGTCATATACCCATAGGTATTTTTGGAATTGGAGTGACGTGCTAGACGTCTGATGCCATTTCGATATCCAAGATCGCGGCTTCTGGTTACAGAAAAATTGGCAAATACCACCACATCACCCTGATTCTTAAGATACCCATATTGTAGGTTATTTAACATTATTTTTATGTCTATATGTAAGCGGAAGTCACCATATTGAATTTCACAATGGCGTCAGACATGGGTTTTCAGTCCTAATAAGTCACCCCGATTCCAAAAAACCCATATTGTGGGGTATTTGACAGTATTTCCCAGTGTTTCTGTAACCGGATGTCAACATCTTGGATTTCTAAATGGCGTCAGACATGGATTCTCGGTTCTCACAGGTCACTCCGATTCCAAAAATATCCATATTGTTTTGTATTTAACGGTATTTTTCTGTTTTCCTGTAACTGAAAGCCACCATCTTGGATTTCAAAATGGCGTCAGACATCGATTTCCGGTCCCTAAGCGTCACCCTGATTCTTAAGATACCCATATTGTGGGTTATTTAACATTATTTTTTTCTGTTTTTATGTAACCGGAAGCCGCCATCTTGGTTTTAAAACTGGCGTCAGACATACATTTCCGGTTCTTACACGTCACTCCGATTCCAAAAATACCCATATTGTGGGGTATTTGGCAGAATTTCCAAGTTTTCCTGTAACCGGAAGCCACCATCTTGGATTTCAAAATGGCGTCACACATCGATTTCCGGACCCTACACGTCACTCTGATTCCAAAAATACCCATATTGTACCAAACCTCTTTTTACGAAGTAAATCCCAAATAACGAGTTTTCTCTTTACGAAGTAAATCCCAAATAACGAGGTTTTTTTTTACGCACTAATTCGATTTACGAACCCCCGTTTTGGTTCCTAAATGGAGGTTTCAGTGTATAGGCAAGCTTCGGTTCGTGCAAAAAGGACCGTTACAGGTTTTGATTACCTCAAGAACGTGGCCACCTAGAATGCTACTGTCGAAGGAGAAGATGTTCAGTCCTGCTGA